AAGGCTTGCCATCCAAATTTAAAGACCTAAAAAGCAGAAGACTAGGGAGTGAAGGGCAAGAAAAGCGAAAATATCGTAGGAATCACTCCTAGATTGCCTTAGGCATTACATCTACTCAAAAGTACATTATTCTTTATTAAATTGTAAGAAGACAGAAATATTACACAAACCAACCTCATATTACAAGAATAGAGTATGGAATTTGGAAGTGGCTAGTGAACACACAAATATTACACAAACCAACCTAATATAACAAGAATAGAGTACAGAATTTGGAACTGGCAAGTAAGACAAATCTGAAGACTACTAAACTCCATAAACACAAACCTAACAAAAAAGACATGAAAGAAAATAAGATCCATATCTCATCAGCCTTACCGACTACCTAAAAATTAAAATTTAAGTGAAATCATACCTCATCATTTAATGCAGCAAAAATAGCACTCAAACTATCAGCCTGTGCCAAGAAATCATCAAATCCTCCATTTTCATGCAGAGAGGAAAATATAGAATGCCGAACAGTAACATCAGCATCTGCCACAGCTGTAATAAGAAACTTTGGTGATGTCATACTGCTGCTGTCCATTCCACAGTGCCCTTCCTCTACCTCTTCCTCTGCTGCATCCCAAAGGAATTGAGCATACGAAGCTAGAATATAAACGGTTGAAGAAGCTCAAAGCCACAGACAAAAGCCAAAACAAGCAGAAAAAATAGACTTGATCATAATTAATTACAAGTTATAACCCTCTTTTAAAGTAAAGCTATACAATTTCCTTCTGCCCTCGATATAGATGACACCAGGAGCCACTTCTCTGAAAATAGAAACCATGAATTGAACCAACACAGCCTGCAACTGTGAAGATTACTTGGTATATTTCTCATAAAAATTTTAAATTTATAAATTCATTACTTAGCACCAGAAATTTTAAGTTTTATCAAACAAAACCAAGCCGACTTCATTTGATGGGACTTAAGGCTTGGTTTGGCTTGGTATCAAACAAAAACCAAAAAACCTAAATCTAGCATTTCACTTATTGTCTTACATCTTCTCAGCAATAAAACAAGGCATCAACATATGGATAAGTAAACCATTCCAAACAATTTATCCATCTTTCCAAACTCATACAGTGATACAAACTATTCTAAAAATAACATATTCATTTTCCTAACACCTAGAACATATTAATTTTTTAAACAATCATGATAGAAATATGATTCAAATATAATGTACCATTCCTCATCATAACCAACAATTTTTTAGCTCCCACATTAGAATCAATGGCAAATTCAAAGCAATGCTAGAAATTATTCAAAAAAAAAAAAAAAAATTCAATGTCTAATGCCGAAAGAATAAAACGCTAAGATGGATCAGACTTTGCAAATTTTTTTTTCTCCTTTTTCTCAAATCATCCAGAGGTAATAGCTAGGTTGTTCCGAAACCCAAAAAAAGGTAAAGAATTAATAGGCATTATTACAATGAACCGCAATTTATCGACATACCTTATTCAAACTTGATTGGGATAAAAATAAACCACAAATCACCTCCTGAATTTTCTCCATCAAACATATCAAGTTCTCATATCAACAATTCATTCAAATTTAAAGATCCAAAGAGAATTCAGATGAACCCTAAAGCAACAATTGAACATCACAAGTTGAAATCCAACAAAATAGAACAACCAAAACTAGATTCTTTCGAGGAAAATTTCGTTTTCCTGGAAAGAATTTTCCATCCAAACAAGCTAATACAAAAGATATTGATATGTATATGTATATTTGTATAATTTGAGAAATGTAAAGACTTCACCTTTGGGGTATGAGAGACGTCCCAACCTAACCTGAGACACTTCTTCTGACACCGATCCGTGTGAGTGTGATGAAATTCCGTCACGTACTCCATCTCCATAGATGGATCTCGAAACCAAAATGAAGAGGATAGAGAGAGAGAAACCCTAGCTCGGTATGAGATGTAGGTCGGCGGTAGACTTGTGGTCAGAGAGAGACCGAGGGCAAAGGCTAAAGAGAGAGAGAGCGAGAAATAGAGAGACAGAGAGAGACAGACAGACAGACCGAGAGTGAGAGAGAACCTGTGAGGATGCGGTGGCGGCGGTGGCGGTGGCGGTGGCGCTAGCAGTGGCGTGCGACGCTGGTCGGCGATGAGGTGAGATTGAGTAAGGATCCCTAGAAATGAGGAGTCCATTAGATAGAGGGCGATGGCGATGGCGATGGAGATGTGCGACGGACGTGAGAAATGGTGGTAAGGGACTTTGGTGAGCTAGAGAGAGTGGGCACCGATTGAGAGAGAGAACACAGAGAGAGGGAGAGGGTGGATCAACATACTACACAGAGCGAGTTGGAGACAGAGAGGAGATCAGAGCCTTTTTTTAAATTTTTTTTTCCTGTTTTCCAGATTCAAAACGACGTCGTTTTTTGATTAGCGACCAATTTTTTTTTTGTCGCCAAAAAATTTCATTTTCCCCCCTCCATGTTTCAAATTTCCCTCCCAAACTTTTGGCGACCAAAACACCATATTAGTCGCAGAAAATGTACCTTCGCCAACAAAATTTTTTAGTCATTTTAGTTTTATGTTTAGAAAGTTGGGTTGAAATTTTTGGTTGATTATTATATTGAAAAATGTGTTTAAAATGATATTTGAGATTCAAATGACAAATTTGTCTCTAATCTCACTTTTTTCAAAATTGGTTTAAAGGAGCAAAATTGTCATTTACCAATAATGGGACAGTCTGTGCCTATACTGTGCCTACACTATCAGCATGACAGTTTAGGTTGCCTGTCGAGTTGCATTTTTTTTTTTAAAAATATAAATCATTGGTTTAAGTATTATTTGAGGCTATTTGGCTTTTTTTAGTATTCGAGACTTTTTTAACCTCAAACTTGGGTTCTCAAACAAGGCCATAAGATCGAAGTTGTCAAATCTCGAATCGTGAATCATAAAGATTCGGTCATTTTTTTCTAAATTACTTTAAAAAATATATCTATACACTTTGATGTTAAATATATTTTATGAATATGAAATATTTAAACTTAAATCAATAAAAATGTTATTGTAAATGATAATCATGTAATTTAATATGTAATAATAATAAGTTAACAAAGATTCATATGTACGATCACCATCTCACATTTTTCATTTTTTTAGATATTTCTTATCAATCATTCTTAATAAAAGATAGTAAACAAAGATAAACTCTCAATTTCTAAAGTAACAATAATTTGACAACGATATTGATATTTGGACAACAAGGGTGTGTTTGTTTGGACGGACTGGATAAGGGAGAATTGGAATCCACCGAACAGTTAGTCCCGGGATATATTGTCCCCGAACAATTTAGTTGGACTGAATTTGTATCCCATTGTTTAATCATGAGATTAGATGTGAGGAAATGACTATTTGGCTAGATAGGATATGAATCTTATATTTGTTTGAGATATTATAAAGAAGGATAAATGTTCAAATGACTATTTCACCATTTTCAATTATTTACTACATAATAGCAATATTAAACATATACTTAATATTTTTAATTATTTTTAACTAGATTAAATAAAAATTTGTTTTATTTTATTTTTTGCACAATATTTTAATTATTTTAATTTATTATTTTCAATTAACTTAAATTTATAATTTATATTTTTTATTTAATATATAATTTTAAATTAATGACAATAAAAAAATAATTTTAGTTAATATATAAATTAAATTTCCAACAACACTAAAAAAATTTAATTTATAAGGCAATAATTTATAATTTATTATTTTTAAATAAATTTAATTTATAATTTATAATTTTTTATTTAATATATAATTTTAAATTGATATGAATCTATTTAATTTGACTAATGAAATGGTTTTTGATAGGGCCGCGTGGAGAAGAAGGATTCATGTAGCCGACCCCATTTGATAGGACTTAAGGCTTGGTTTGGTTTGGTATATAATTTTAAATTAACAACACCAAAAAAATAATTTATAAATGTTCAAAGACTATTTTATCATTTTCTAATTGTTTGCTAAGTAATAGCATGGGGCAAAATGAACATTTCAGAGCCTAATTCGATGGGATACCAATCCCATGCAAATAATCCCACCCACCTCCATGGGATAGGATAGTCCCATATCTGTGGGACTAATAATCCGGGAGGACTATTAGTCCGGAGCAAAAAATTTCAAACAAACAATAGACTATTAGTCCGGTGGAACTAATAATCCAATCTTATGCCCTAATCCTTCAAAACAAACGCACCCTACAAATTTGAGTTTGTCTAATCCAATTTGGTCAAGAGTTCACTAGCCACTGTCTATCTCAAGCTTTGGCACAATTTGATTGAGGAAATCCATGTAACTCCTCTTCAACTGAAGGACCTCTATTATGTAATTGAAGGCTGCTATTCCATTCAATAGATAAGCAAAGACGGGTAGAAATATTTAATATACCTAGCACCCAAAATTCATGTGTTTGGTTTATCGAGTAATTCAAGATTGCTATTACAGTCCATAGATGAGCAAAGATGGGTAGAAAATTTTAATATACCTAGCATTTATTTGTACTGATGATGCATTCTTTTATTGAGAAATCTAGTCAACAAAATCTTAGTGGTAGGATCTCATGCCAACTAGTAAAATTCTTGCACTTAAAAATCCTAGTGAAACAATGTGGAAAATTAGAAAGAATTTGAATACAGATGCGTGTTCGAATTACAAAACTGCCTCTTACCTCTCCACTTTTGTGTTGAATTGGCTGATAGTATCTAACAATTCCATTTGGGCCATTATTTAGCATGTAAAAGTTTGTTAGTTGTTGTTTCTGGTTTTTTTGGTAACACATGTCTAGGGGATGAGGGCTATGAATAATGTTACGGACTTGTATTACTACAAAAGAAATTTACTACTATAATGTTATGGATGGATAATATTATGGATTTATGTATCGATGTGAATTACATTTTCATGTTCATCTTACTTTCTTCTTGTTTACAGAAATGGACCACAGAAACTCAACAAATCCGTTTGATATGGACGCCACAATAAATAGTCAGTCAAATGAATTTCCCAACTACGACAACATCACGACGGAGATGGATTCAAGTGGGGAAAGCTTGGAGACCGAGGACAGCGTAGACAGCGAGGACAGTCTGGATAGCGCTAATATTGAGGACAGTGAAGACAGTATTGCAGCGCAGTTGAGGTCGTCATTTATTGCATCGGACGATGATGACATGGACTTTGCCATGGTATGCCAGATGTGGGAATCAACCAATGGAATTCTGGGGAAGCAGCCCCAACGGACATGTCTGTACACTGGAGAAATGTACGCTCAACATTTATTGAATGGTCGTCCGCGCACAATTCGGGAGGTCTTGCGGATGGATGCACCAACGTTCAGGTCCCTTTGTGATGAATTGAAACGCAGAGAGTTCATAAAGGTGGACAAGAACAAGTTATCTATAGAGCAATCGCTTGCTATATTTTTATATGTATGTGGACATAGTGAAAGACATAGACTTGCGGCTGATCGTTTTCAACACTCAACGGAAACCATTCACCGACATTTCAAAATTGTGATGAGAGCATTGTGTCGTCTTGCTGTCCTTATCATTCGACCTCCTGACCCGAATGTTGTTCCTCCTGAAATTCGAAACAACCCGAAGCGTTACCCATGGTTGAAGGTTAGCTTGGGATCCCTTGTTTGTTTGCAATTTTTTGACGAGTATGCAATGAAATTTGGGTGCAGACAAATGTAATAATTATCATATTTGCGTAATGTAGGACTATATTGGGGCAATCGATGGTACGCACATTGCGGAGCATGCACCTGCTTCAAAGAGAACTGCATATCTTGGTAGGAAGGTTGCACTAACACAAAACGTTCTTGCAGCATGCTCATTTGACCTCAAATTTACTTTTGTTTATCCCGGTTGGGAAGGTAGTGCAATTGATTCACGAGTGTTATCTGATGCGCTTACACGCCCCGATGTATCCTTCTCGCTTCCTCCTACAGGTAAGGGTTTTGGTTTGTAATGACGATGCTTTTAAAAGTTTACTTGAAAATAGTTTCTAATAAACTTGTCAATGTGACATACTCATGTAGGTAAATATTACTTGGTCGATGCGGGTTTCACAAATATGACGGGATTCCTCGCACCATATCGTTCAGAACGCTATCATTTGGACCAATTTGGTGGATGTCGACGTCGTCCAAATGGGTATAAGGAGTTGTTTAATTATCGGCATTCATCACTAAGAAATATGATAGAACGAAGCTTTGGGGTGTTGAAGAATCGTTTTCCTATATTGAGATCTATGCCGAACTACATGCAAGTGTGGCAAGGCACAATAGTTACAGCATGTTGTGCTTGTCACAACTGGATTCGCATGCACTCTGCAAATGATCCATGGTTCAATAGGTGCGGTAATGCACGTGCGGGGCAAGCAGTACCCGCAACTCCTGCGGCAGGAATTTCCAATGAAGCAGATGAAGTCATGAATGAAACGGTTCAACTTCGTGATGAAATTGCGACAGCAATGTGGAACAACCATAGGGTTCATCCATAGTACCACATTAAACTTGTCATTTGTATTGTTCAGTTGGATAATCTTTTGTGGTTAGATTTATGTAAGACCTAAGAAGTTTGTTTGACTTATGTGTTGCGGTTGAACATATGGATATATGTAATCACCCTTGATGCTAGTGCACCGAATATTATGGATGCTTGCATTGCCTTAGTAAGTTGTCAACTTCTCTTATACAAATTTCGGTTATGAATGTTTAGATTTAAAATTTGTTTGACATTTTCATAATCTTAGCAGGAAAAAAATTCACAATATTCCTTTATGCATTTTCTGTTATGAATGTTTAGTATAAAATTTGTATATGGATATAGGCTTTGGTAACAAAAGGTGTGTATTGTCCCACCCAAACGTCTTATATTTGCTTGTTTATTTTTCTCCCTAATCTGTTTGTCTCTCTGTCTATCATCCATGGAACAAATAGGTACATTTTTCTTTTTTTATTATTTACACAGACAACCCAGAACTATTTTTCAGATTGATTATTTATTTAAATTTCATGAAAATTCAACGATTTTGAAAATAAATATGTTTGGTTTGAGTTTTAGAGATAAGTTTTAGAAAAAAATTTCCAAAATATTGTTTGGTTTGAGATTTTTCTCAAAAAATTTCCAAAATCACTTTCTCTCTCTTACACATCAACCAATCACTTTTTCTCTCTCCTCTCTCCTTCTCAATCACTTTTTTTCTGACACACATCTACTCAATTACAACAAAATATCAAATCATCCCAAACTTTCAAACTCCAAAACTACTTTCAAAATATACAACCAAACAAACCAAAAAAATTTCTAAACTCTCTCCCCAAATTTTTTTTCAAAAACAACTCTCCCAAAAACACACCAAACAAGCCCATGATGTATTAAATCGTAAATTTGAAAAAAAAATTATGATTTCATAAATAAATTTACCAATCGATTCACATTTTTTTTTAATGCCAATTTGAAATAATTGGGCATTTTTCTGAAATTATGGTTTTCGGAAATTTGTACATAAATTCACTGTGTTTTTTGGAAACTTGTATAAATTTACGTTTTTTGGAAATTTGTATAAATTTACCATTTTTGCAAATTTGTAAATAAATTTTGGTTATTTTGAAATTTTTTACATAAATTTGCCAAGGGTATGATTTTGTGAATACAAATTTATGATTTCATTTGTGCATAACATTTAGGAAAATTTGATTATACGAAATAATTTTTTTAATGCCAATTTAGGGAAAAAAAATTACGTTTTCTATGGTTGCAATGAGTGAAAATTTTATAAAAAAGTGATACAGTTAATGGTAAGATATATACCCATAAATGAGTACATGCCACATTATGTTTTCATAGGTCCAAGAATTTATATATATATGTATATATATATATATAATGTACTTGAGAGAATGTTTTGATGTGATTTTTTTGTGTTTTTTTAATTGTTTCAATCATTAACTTGGAGGGAAATTTGAAATTGTAATGATGTATTTTTTGAAAAACCAAACAAGAATTTTTTTTCAAAAAAGAGTTTTCAAATCACTTTTTCAAAAAAAAATTCAAAAAATCGCAACAAAGCATGGTGATTAGGTTTAGGATTTTGTTTTGATGGCTCCATTAGTTCTTCAAATATTATTTTGATCTTAAAAAAATATTGTGAGTACAAAACCCACTTCCCTTGATTTACGTTTAATTCATAATTTTTATTTATTTGATGTTGAATTGATTTCGTATTTACATATAGATGATTGATCGATTTTAATTATTTTGATTAGTTGTGTATGTAAGGTTTAAAATTTTTAGATGATTGATTGATTTTATTATTTTGATTAGTTGTATATGCAAGGTTTATGGTTTTTTTTTTTATATGTATTTATTTTATGGTTGTAATCACACTCATAATTATATGAAATTGAAATAAACTTAGAGTCCATAGATATTAGTTAGATGACGGATTGATTCTTTGTTTTTATTTATTTGATGTTGGTTTGATTTTGTATTTATAGTTAAATGATAGATTGATTTTAATTATTTTGATTAGTTGTGTATGTCATGTTTAGGGTTTTTATATGGATTTATTTTATGGTTGTAATCACACTCATGGTTATATGAAATTAAAATAAATTAATAGCCCATAGATAAATTTCTTATACTCCACCATGACTCCATGGATTGTTGTTTTATTTGAGTGATGGTGAGAAATAGTGTATAAAAAAAAGTGAGGATTATGAAATTTATTTGAATGCCTTAGGCTCGGTATTGTTATGTTTATTCTCATGTGTGAGATGTTGTGTATATATATGTTGTTGCCCTCGTTCTCATGAGTAGACGAGTGCTTTGATTTACGCGCGTACGTATATGCCAACCATCCGGGGAGTGTGGGTCAAACTCGGGACGATATCCCCGTGCAAGTTTGGTTTCGGAGCAGTGTTAGGTATACGAGAGGCACATGAGATATATGTATAGGTCGGAAGTGGAGGGCCGAAGCGGTGGAGTTAAGATACAAAGAATTTAATTATGAATTTATTGTTATAGCGTGTATTGTATTGATTTGTACAGGTTGAAAAATAGTAAACGACCTTGATAAATAATGAAATTTGAGCAGAAGCATGTATACGTGATTCTAGACAATTTTTGTATTTTAACTTTTTATTTAAAATATCGATTAAAACTTATAATCGGATGATCTTAGTTATTGTAGTTTGATTCATTTTAGCAGTGCAGAGTTTAGTGGATGTTTTAACCCACGAAACGAGCTCATTTTTATTGGTTTCGCGTAAATTAAAGTAAAATATTATTATGCACACTTTTCGTGTTTTGAACTTTTCTGAAAAAAATCATCTTAGGACAGTTTTTGTTCGTTTTCAGCTTTAGATTTTTCGATTGAATTCCGTGTAGGTTTTTCTATCAAGTTTTTCTCTCAACCTGTTCAGTTTATGTAAAATTTGTTCGCTTAGTTTCTTAGGAAATTTGATTCTGTACAACTTTCGTTTTTTGAGTTTTGGTCAATTCGAATTGTTTAAGCATGAAACAGTGCATTTTTATACTTCTTCAACAAGTTACTTATGATTATATTATATTAACTTTATTTTTTTTTGCAGGATGGTGAGTCTTACTAATTTTTTTATGCATGGCTGACCCACCATATTTTTATTTCTATTTTATTTATTTTATAATCAATTTATATTTCGTTGTGTACGGACAAGAAATAAATGCCACGGTATCTCGAGAAACTACCCATTCATCTTGCTGCGGTTGGAACTACTTGTCTTATCCTGTAATAAGAATTAAATGTATTTTTGTTTGTGTCTGGTAGACATGTGGGTGTTAAATCTTATACTCATACCAGTATACCTGTATACTGACCCGTTTTGTCTCTTGGCAACTCGGGTGCGTTCTGTTTGAGCGCAGTCGAGCTTCCTTTGTAGGATTAGTTGGGGCTACGGTGGTGACGTGGAATTACTATAGTGTTGGACTTGTCGTTTGGACTTCTGTTGTTTTCTTGAGCTTAGGGTTGATATTAGTTTATATATATATATATATATATTTTTTATGACTTTAGTATTGAGATAATTTGACATGGTTTGTAACCGTATATTATTTAAGTTATTTTAACTTTGTATTGTTACTTTAATATTGGAGGTATTGGTTAGTTATGGAATTATGGTAGATGGTTTGGTTGGCGTTTAATTTTTTATTTCACCCCTAGGATTTGGATAATGAAATATTAATTGAAGTTTAATCCTAATTTAATATTTAATTATCTAAATTTTGGGACGTGACAGACAAAATGGTATAGGGAGGAAAATTGCTAGTAGGTTTAGACATCAAAGGTGATGAAAGTTGTATAGGGGCTCGCTGGTGATAGAAATGGAGGTCGGTGGTGACAATTGTAATAGTGGCAGGAGAGATTGGGCTGAAAAATTAGGATTACGTCTTGAGGGTTTTTTTTGATAATCACTACAACAAAAAAGGTCTTTGGTGACAGACTGATTTTGTCTCCAAACATCAAAATTTCGTCACTAAAGTGATCTGTGACGAAAAAAATTTGTCACCACGTTCGTGGCCTATACGTCGTCACAAAAAGTACCTGGTGACGAAAAACAGTTTCGTCACCTATTTTTCATTTTTGGCGACGAAATGTTTCGTCTCCAAATGTTGAATTTTTCGTCCTCTAAAACACCAATTTCGTCACCAAAACTAAATAATATTTTATTTTAATTGTTTTCTATGACGAAATATTTCGTCACCAAATATATTTTTGTGACCAAAGTTTTCCTCACCAATGATATAGATTAAGGTGACAAAAAAATTCGTCACTAAAATGTGCAAAAAAGAAAATTATTCAATGACAAAAAACATTTTGTCACCAAATATTTCAATTTAGCGACGAAATATTCAGCAAATGTGACGAAATTATTTGTTTCATACTATATCATTAGTGACAAAATTATTCGTCATGTTTTTTGAAAACTTATAGCAACATTTTTTATTTCGTCACTAATAAAAATTAAAAATTTTGAAAATGGGGGTACTATTTTCTTCCGAAATTTTTTCTTTTCAGTAACAATTCCCTGCGCATTTCAATAACCTGTTCAATAAAATATCTATTACAAATCAATACAAAAATCTGTTCATTATCATAAACATCACAATCGAATTTTAGCACTATCCACAAAAATACAATATGAACTGCATGCAAATTATAAACATGTCTCCTAATATCCACAAAAACGTTTACTAATATCCACAAAAATATAATATCAACCGTAATACCAACGCATCTCCTAATATCCAACCAAAATACATGTATGGTAATATGAACAAAAACACAAAATGAGCTACCATTGGCCCTCCAAATTACCAAACACGTCCATATCAAATCTCGAATCTGCAAAAAAATGAAAAAAAAAAAAAAAAAAAAAAAGTTAGACAATTATTATCTTATCTATAACATATACAATTTAACATGCATTTTTAGACTTAGTTTTCAAACCGGGAGTCCCGTGCTAATTCCGTAAGTTTCCACAACTCACATTGGTCAATCCCGAGGTGTTTAAGGTGTTTCCCGGGCCGTCTCGTGGCTGTTGCACAATTTTCGCCCCCGAAGGCCTATTTTCAAACTTAAATGTGTGAAAAA